CCCCGCCTCTCCTCTGCGGTCTTCCCGCCATGAACCTGGAGGGGTCCTGGCGGGCGCCCTTGTTGAAAAGGCGGCGAAAAACAAAAAACAAACAAAATAAAAGAAGAATAAAGGAACACCAGTTTTCTCCTTCTTTGTCTTCGTATTTCATGCCTTTTTATTTGCTTCGTTGTGGTTTTTGTTTTGTGTTTTTTTTTAATTTTTGACTTCGTTTTCATTTTGTTTGTTTCTTTGGTGCTGCCCCCCCCCCCTTCGGCTTCTCCCTTCCGTCGCCGGGTGGGCGCCACGAGGCGGGCGGTGATGGCTGCGCGGGCAAAGGCGACGGGGGGAAGCAGACACGCAAATGCACAGAAAGACAAACCAGAACAAAAGAGCACAAAGAGAAAAAACAAAAAAAGCCACACAAAGGGCAGGATCAAGCGCACATGCACGTTATCATGAGGTCACACACACGCAGCGGCTACGGTAGCGAAGCCCCTCACCCTTCCCAAAGAAAGAAAGAAAGAAAGAAAGAAANCGCAGCGGCTACGGTAGCGAAGCCCCTCACCCTTCCCAAAGAAAGAAAGAAAGAAAGAAAGAAAGAAAGAAAAAAAAAAACAAAAAAACAATGGTAATAGAAAGAGAAAACAGAAAACAACAAAAAAAGATGTCTCGCTACTCACCTCCATACGGCCTTTGTTTTCCCTTTGCTCATCTCTTCACAAAAACAACAAGGAATACGCGAGAAGTATGGTGCGCCCTTCCCGTCTACTGCGCCTGCTCGGCAGCGTTGAGCCACACGGTAACAGGCCGGCCATTCACATACACACGCTTGCACCTGACATGGGTCACGGAAGTGGCAGAAGGGGTAGCCGGCTGTAGCTGCGTTTGCGCATTGGCACGGGCATTCCGCTGCTCCACGCGCCTCTCCTTTTTGTTGGATGAGCCCACCTCGACGGTAGCGACATTGGGGGTGTTTCTGTTGGGATCGCACCGGAGAAAAGCGGGGGCGCTGGAAGACCCTGCCGCGAAAGTCGGGACGCGGTAGTTAAACTGCGGCGAGAGAGCGCTGCGAGGGTGCTGCTGTGGTAGCGGGTGGCAGGATGTCCTTATGGTGCTCTGCACACTGCAGCTGCCCTGCGGTAGCGGCGCGTGCTGTGTCAGGATGGGCGTTGACGGTACCGCGTCAAAAACGCTGCCTCCCTCCTCCTTGTATGCCATCCTGAAGCTCACCTCAGTGGGATACGGGGACTTGGGAATGCAAGGCGACCCATCCATTGATGTTCGTCGGTACGGGTCATTAGCGCGCTTTTGCGGTAGAAACGGGGACTGCGGTTCCGAAAGGGTGAGTGGCAATCCTTTGAGGCGCTCCTGAAACGCAACAGTGGCGGCGCTTTTGGCCGATGTGAAGTAATGAGAGGCGTTTTGGATGTTATCAGAGTTGTGAATGGCGCTAGTGCAATCCATCAGCGGCGAAACAAAAGAGGCTGCGCTATCACTTCCCGGGTAGACGTACGCGTTGTGAGATATCATTGCTGCGCTCTTCTATAGATCGCTCGATTTTCCTTACTGTTTTTTTTTGGGTTAGCTCGCTGAAGGACTTCAAGTAGACAACAATGATAACAAAAGTAAGCAAATGGAGCAAACAAACTAGGAAGGCACACTGAATGCAAGGCTTCATTCGTTAGAGGATCATAAACACCGTTACTTTAAGACCCTCATATATATATATATATATATATATCGCAAAAGAAAAAAAGAAAAACCGATAAGACTTGGCATCGTTGATATCTGGGGCCTACTTAACTCAGCTCGTCCTGCTCGCTTGCCCGTATAAACGCAAAGCCCTTGAAGTGGTACAACCCGTAGACCAACTGAGCTATCAGCAGCAAGACCGCGATGACTCCCACAATCCGATAGCCCAGCTGCATGGACTGGGTGTTGGTGGGTGTGAGGGATTGCCGCAGGTACGCCGGCACCACTACAGGCACGTAGCCAGGCACACACCCCACTATGTTGTTCTCACGCAGGTACTCTGCATCAGCTGTTGTTGTACCATTGATGCCTTGGGCGATACGATTACAAAGCGATACGGCGACATCTTCATCACCATTCGTTAAGGACAGAATGCAGGTGTCAAAAACAACTGATGCATTCAGACTCACAGAAAGAGGAACCTTGAAGTGATGGCGAAATTCTACCCAAAAAGCCTCCGTGCCATTGGGAGGCCACTCGGTGGGCCGTACCACTGCAAGCTCGATCCGCATCAGTGCAGTGCCGTTGGTCCCAGCAGCAGCAGATGAATCCACAGCGCTCTCCATAGCTGTGACGGATGAAATACACATGATCAGAGGAAACAACGCCAGCACGTTACGAATCGTCATGACGCCTCTCTCTTGAAGGAGGCGCAAAAAAAAAAATGAAAGAACCACAACTGTACGTCTCTTTTTGGCTCTTAGAGAGAGGGCACCAAAACCATGATAAGGAAGAAAAAAGAAGACAGGAAACCAAAAAAAATATGTGGAAAAGTAATTCACCGCGAACTCATCATTCGCCCTGCACAGGTGGAATAAAAATACCCAGGGCAGAGGGACGTCCGCAGAGATGACAGAACAGCAGGCTTCTTCTTGGCGCCCAGAAAGAATTATGAAGACGTCTTGTCAGCCTTGTCCACCTCCTCATCCTTTGGCTTCTCAAAAAAACGTCGTGTGATGCGAGTCACGCCACCCGATAGCACCCCGGAGAAGATCAGTCCTAGTGATATGACGTTGAACACCATCGCGGGATCGGGAACAGGGATAGTGGTGCCAGCAACATTGTTGCATCGGAGCCAAAAGTAGCACATGCAAGACATCGTGCTCTCGTTCCGCGGCTTGTTGCGCAGCAGACTCTCCAAGAAACGTTCTAATGATTCTTGATGATCAATTCGCATCATGCTAAGAGCCGCACACTTTGGAGCAGCACAACGCTCAGTGCCCACCGAGGCAGTGACAGTCGTGGCAGCTCCAGCAGCTTCCGTTATATCCTCCAAACTTTTCCCAAGGCGAATAACAGGCTGCGGCAAAATACGGTTACTGTTGGCGTCATGCGGCATGTCTTTGAGAGCAGCCCAGCCAAACTTAAAGGGAAACTCACAAACAACAAAGCCACTAGTCATAGAGCCTTCTTCATTCATACGCGCCTCACGAATATGAGCCTCAGTGAGCACAGTTTTCACAAGCACCACAAGCACATTCGCGCTGTCGTCAAAAAACGCGTTTTCCAATGTAGATGATCCTGGTGGGTTGGACTGCATCGCATGAAGGGAAGGCCGGAGGACGTGCAGGGGAAACATGAGAAGCGACTCAAGCGTATCCCCTGGTCTCAGCCCGTACAGGGCATCGCTTGCCTGATGCGCCGTGGTCGTCGGCGGGAACACGACCAGTCTGTAATTCCCACGGTCATGTCCCACTGTGGTGATGTAGTACTGCGCGGTCGGTGCGAGCTCTCCTGTCCATGCCGAATGAAGACTGGTCAAATTTTCTTCGCTCCGTGGCGCCGCTTCAACTTGTGGAGTGCCCATCGTAAATTGCAAGGCATCACGGAGTTGTGCATTCGTACGCGGTCCAACAACGAACGTCAGACGACCGGCATATGAGGGGAAATATTCCTTCCAATGGGCTGCGAGTTTGCCAAAAACACCTTTGCGCGCAACAAATGCCATGCGGACGAGGAGCTTGATCTCTGTCTCCTCTGCCGCGTCTTGTGCCACGACAGGCGACTGCGACGCACCAAAGTGGAAGTGATGGAAACCTGAGGAAAAGAATTCCTCCATTGTGAGCAGGCCCGCCCGGAATATGCCATCTGGGATACGTTCCTCAATGCCCTTTCCGCTGCGTCCACCGTTAAGCAGTGCGCTAACATGCTGTGTGCACACTGTATCGTGCTGGGCAAGGTGATACGAACACCAGTGGTAGTTCCCCTTGCCTGCTGCAACGCTTCCATCACCCGAGACCGAGTGAAGAGCACCGACAGGGCGGATATGCCGCGGTGTTTCTTTCGACCAGCTGAGTGGCGAGGAGAGGAGCGAGGAGACAAACTGTGCCAACCATTGGTGGTGCCTTCGAGCCTCAGCATTAGGGTCCGCGGATCTGTTGCTGTTCTCATCGTCGCTGTCCAACGTTTCTGTCTTGCCCCATCCACAGGCAGAGAGACCCGAGAAGTAACACACCGTGTGGTGCGAGAGGTCGTAAATGAGTTCGGTCGTGCTCTCACTGATGGGGGAGCTGGTGTCGTACAATGCCGCACTCCATTCAGAGCGCCACGAACCTCCACAGCCAGACCACTCCAGCGAATCAAAGCGCCGCCGCCGCAGTACGTGCACCCAAAAGGGATCCATATCCTCATTAAAATTCAGGTGCTCATCGTTGTCGTCAGCCGATCCACGTGGCAGCCAGAGTGATGTTGTTTCTGTCACGGAAACAAGCGTTGGTTCCTCACCTGCGTCGTCGAAGCCCTCTGAAAGCGGATGCACGTGAATAAGGTACTTCTTCTCTGTCCGCGGAACAGTGGGTTGGTACGCGTGAACAGCGACGGTGGCAATGCAAATCGCAAGGATAGCCCAGCAGAGCGCCGACAAGCGGAGTGACATATTCTCAAATATTGAACCTTCTTTATCTCCCCTTTGAGTTTCGCTCCCTACTAACAAGAAAAGCTCTGCATCACGAAAAAGTCCATATACGCAAAGGAAAGCAAAACGTGTGTGGGCTCATATATACATATATATATATATATATATGTATATTTGTATATATGTATATATATTCCTGTTAGAGTGAGATCAACAACCACCATTGAATTTTCAATTTACAACATCTGGTAGGCGGGCACCACAAATGCCCAATTGTTTATTTTCGCTCCTCAGTGGGGTGGGGGGGCTAAAGGTGCCCCCGTCCGTAAACGATAAAAAGAAGGAATCCCACATGGGAATGAATGAGTAAAGATCATGGTATTGAAAAGAAAAAAAAACACGAGAAGAGCTTTGAGGATAAGAACAATGCAGCAACAAAAACCGAGGTGAGTAACACAAACTCACGACTGAGCCCTCAACGGTGCCGCACTCGATGGCGGTGTCACTGGCTCTCGCTCGTGATTGCCCAGCTCCATTTCTTCTTCTGCGACAGCGATATCAAGTACAGTCACTTCTTTGACAACGAACACTTTCTGATCGCTCAATGATGAGCTAGGCAAAAACGAATCTTTTTGCTCAAGTTGCGCCCCATTTCCTTTGGCAAATAATGACAACTTTGTGTCATTTTTCATCGTGCATGGAGCGATCATAAAACACGCAGTCAAGTGAAAGCCAAATGTGAAAATAAAGGCCGCGCCGTACCCGAGTCGATCTGCCAAGTAGCCTCCCACAACTGCAGTGCCGGACCACGATGCCGACTGAATGGATTCTACAGCATTCCACATACCGCGCCGCTCCTCCGAGACTATATCCATGATGAGGGCCCTACTAAGGCCCATGGTGGAGTTAATTAAGGACATGCGCGCCACGTAAGCGATGCACATCATCCAGGTGGGTGCCGCGGTTGTACCACGCGCAAGGGCCATATAGAGCAGTATGAATGTGGCCGAAAGTTTTGGAAACATAAGCGCACGTGTTCGCCCAATCCTCCGCCCTATGGAAGCGTTGATGATGGCGAGGGCTGAGATCAGAATAGCGGTCACAATACCAAGCAAAGCCATGCCGATTGGCGAAATGAAATAGATCTTCATCATGAAGAGAGAGAAGTACTGCGTTGTCATGCCGCTTCCTAAAGTAGTCACAACGTCCGCTAATGCAACCACATAGGGGTAGTATTCCAATGGAATCGAACAGGGATCCTTCAAAATCCACCTCTTCTTCTTTGTCGGCTTCTCATTTTCGCCACAATCGGAGGTAAAATTCGTACATAAACCTGTCTCTCGCGTGCTCTCCGGCGGCGGCGGCGGCGGCGGCAGTGGTATCAATTGTGGCAGTGGTGACGAGGTAGTAGGGGCGATGACGGCGCTGCTGTCGGTGCACACCGCAATTTCCTCCTCGACATACAATGCACGTTGTTCCTCCTGATTGTAGGGACTCACCGGGCTGCTCAGGTTTGCTGCCGCCTGGTCGTTGCTTGGGGATCTGTCCAGGTGGCTTGGGAGCGGCTTGAAGCGTGCAAGGAAACCCTCCATCGACACAATATGGAGCACGAGTCCGGCGGCTATCACCCACCGCAGCACTTCGAGACGCCACGTGTTGCCAAAAAAGGCAAAGAGAACAAGGGAGAGTCCAAGACCGGCAATCGGGCCCGCTGCCTCCAAGCTGAACTTTACGCCGTACATACGATCTCGATCGCCCTGCTGCAAGCACTGTGCGAAAACAGACTCGACCGATGTGAAGCTCAAGCCCATGTACGTGCCATAGAGCGATTGGGCAATTATCAACATCCACCAGTTGCCAGACCAAACAGAGCACAGAGTGAAGCACAATGCGAAAATCCCAAACCGAACTGAAAGTTGCAACGTTCGCGATGGTCCAAGAACTCGATCGGCCAGGTGGCCGCCCAACAGAGCAAATATTAACTCAAACAAACCGTTCAAAGCTGACATGAGTCCAACATGGATATTGCTGTCGCCAAATGTGTAATAGATGAACGGTGTCCAGGCGTTGTTCATCCAGATTGATCCTGCCAAGCTGTTTGTGAACACATAGAGAATAATTACCCCAAGAGGGGTACCAAAGTTCTCTCGTAACTCATTGATTGACGCACCTATTGCCATTCTTTTTTGTTGTTGTTGTATCCTCTAGAGCTCTTTAATTCATCAAACGCTTCGAGAAATTCAAAGAAAAAAAACCTTTCCCCCCACTCCTATAGGACGCGTTAGTACCTAAAAGAAGTAGCACTAACGTCGGTGGCGTTGGAGGTTTAAGATACTTCAGGTCTTCAACCCAAGGCTATACGATATGCATTTAAGAATGGAGGAGACAAGGATCATGAAGAAGATAAATAAACAGACACTATCATAATAATAATCTCCAGTGGTAATATTGTTGTTGTTGTTGCTAGCGGTGGTTTTAGTCGTCTTGCGACCAGGGAAAGAGTAAAAGCGCAACCTAAACGGTTTGCTCATATGGAAAACCGCAGTACAGGATTCCCATTCCCATGGGGGCGAACTGAGTAGTAAGCCAACGAAATAGATCATTTCACCTCTTTGCTTACACTACGGTATGGGGATTGCCGGCGCATGAATCAAGTTTGGCGACGATAAGGCAATGGTGGAAAATATATCCCTCTATACCTTTTTTTTCTTTTTGCTTCGTTCCTCCATTCTCCCACATATCGCTTCTTTGCCTATCCACTTGTTCCGCCGCTACGCGCATTTAAGGCAGATCGACACATCCGATCTTACAAAAAAAATCAGTCACAATGCTCCAAGCAATGTAAAACTGCCTGCTCGGCAGTTTTACTGCTAGTAGCTCTTCTTCTCCGGAAGAGGATCGGAAATGCCACTGCAGAATCCAATCCGCATTCAAATAGTTAGCTTTCAAGTCGAAGTAAGACCCCTTAATCACACCGGGCCGAACCATTCGCTTTTTCACGGCGGGGTGACCGTCACCACCGTCAATCACGGCGATAAGGTCGGCCAGGGGCAAGCACCGCCGCATTGTCCAGCTCTGCGAGCTTGCGTGCCAGCATAGAACCGACTGCAGTTCCCCCAAATCTGATTTTCGATAAAGAAATTTGATAACAAAAAAACGCTCGTGTGGGGCGCCGTGAGTGACGAATTTCAGCATGAATGTACCGCGAGCCACACTACTCTCAAAGGCAATGATAACTTCTGGGGGAATCGGCGGGCACCGCACTCCACGGCGAGCCGCTACATCCCTTACGAGCGCGAGGAGAAGTGAGCTGGGCTGTACGTGCTGCGGCGCATGGGGAATGGCGGAGTTCCAGCTCACGTGTGCCTCGGGGCCCCCGCGGGGGGGGCACCCTGGGACGCTACTTCGGTTCGCGGCGGCGGCGGCGTCGTTGTCGTCGTCGCCAACCCAGCGGCAGCTCAACGCACGGCTCGTTCTTCTAGACTCCTGCTCGGTGGTGGGGTAGTGGTTCCTGCTCGCCGAGCGCGAGCGCCTGTACGACGCCGGGAGTCGATCACTTTCGTCCATCAAGTCGTGCTCTCTCTCATCCGCTACCCACCGCGACGGCACAGATTTGCTGTTTGCGCCGCTCCCCCACTGACGGCTTCGGTTATAGTACTGCTTCTTGTCACGGTTCGCTGACGCCCTTAAGTTTGTGCTGATATTGGATGGCTGGTCCTCAGCGATTTGCCAGGCTGGGCTGCTGTCGCTTAGGAGACGGTTGCGTTGCAGTGACATTTCCCAGAAACGATGCGAGAGATCGTCAATGCTTGACGACTGACTCATGGGCGTTAACAACGAATTATTCAGAGGAAAAAAAAACGAAGCTAACGACACGCTACCTTGGCTAGGCATATCCAGGAATTCCAGGAAAAAAGAAGAGGCAGAGGAGAGAAAAAAAAAGGAAACGTGCAACGAACGAAATCTGCAAAGAAACACAGCGCACTTCTCATTCGTCATCATTTCTGCCTCGCTGCTTGTATGAGGCTATTTTTTTCTTTTTTTTTAGCATTTGTTTTTTTTTCTCCTTGGTACTCCTTCTTGTCCTTGTTAAATGCTTACGTGGTCGCCAGCCATTTTAATGATTGCTCGCACTACTCAGTGACGCCGCTGATCCCCCTCTGGGAGTGCGCGCGCAATACGCATGACGGTATTCTTAAAGCGCGCCGTTCCCTTGGTCTTCCTGAGGCACCGATCAGCCTGGTCAGCGTCTTCAAAGGTGATGAAGGCGAAACCCCTGTAGTTCCCAGTAACACTGTCCTTAGGAAGGAACAGTTTCTCAATGTGGTACTCGTCCGTATCGAAGATGTTATACAGCTCCTCCTTACTGATGTCATCTGAGATGTTTGTGATGCGGAGGCGGCGGTCTGTGTCTTCTTTGCGCTGCGCCGAGCTCTTCTCGCCTCTGGCAGCAGCCCAGGTGCGTTCCTTGGCCTGGTCCGATGGCGCCGCCTCTTCGAGCGCGGCCTTCCTCTGTTCCTCCTTGATTTTCGCGAAGCGCTGAAGCCGCGGGTCGGTGACTTCAATCTTCATCCGCTCCGCCTCGTTCATGAGCCGCACGACCTCGTCACGCGCCACACGCTCCAGCGGGTCGACGTCACCTAGTTCTAGCACAATTGGGGGGTCCCGCGAGACGAGATCCTGCATGTTGCCGGCGTCTTTGCCAAAGCGTTTCCACTTGGCGCGGATGTCTACCACTGTGGCGGGGCGGTCTACATGGTACGTGCGCACCTTCTTCACAATTTCGTAGCGCTTGTTCTCGCTGTCGGTGACAGTCTCGACGACCATCTTGGCGTTGTCCCATGCCTCCTTGGCGTCCTTCAGCGCAAGCTTGTCCGCCTGCTCCTCCAGCGGAAACATCGCCTTGTCGCCGAACTCCTCATCCAGCGCGATGGGGTCAATGTCGTCCGCCCACGCCGCCATTTGCCCAGCTGTTTTTTTTTCCTTTCTTTTTGTTGTTGCTGTTGTTGTTGTGTGTGTGTGTGTGTTGTGTGCCTCCCTTGATGAAACACAAAACCCACCGACCCGAAACTACCCACTCGAACGAATCACGGGCAGCACAAGGAAGAAAAAAAGAAGAGACGTAGAAGGGGGGGGGGAGAGAGGGAGTTGACAAAACAGCTTAGCTAAGCACATATACACAGACACAGTTCCAGGTATATTTCCCTTTCCCTCGCTCTCTTTTCCCTCTCTCTATTCTAGAGATGTAGTGCATCATGTGCAAGACGGTAGCTCCTCTATTCATCAACACATTGGGACATCAAAAACACCAGCGCGGCTTTTCCTCTTCCATCGCGCGCTTCTTCCGCTCATAGACGGACAAACGCCTTACAGGATCACGTGACTGCTCTCGCACAGTGTACTGGTGCGGTTTGTGTGACGCGCGTTCTTCTTCCTTGTCATACCTGTAGCCCAACCCTCCTCGACCATCTCCGCGATCCAAGCTTACCCCCTCCTCAGTGTGGGTTTGCGACCCCTCTTCCGCTTCACTTTCCTCGTACTTGTACAACCAAGATATATTGCGACCTCCTGGCCCAGAGGCATCACGTCCCTCCTGCGGCTGCTTCTTGGGTGAATGTCGCGGCGGCGGAAGCCATGGAGGATCAAATCGTTTCCCCCTGGATATACCTTCACTCTCATCTTCATTCGACTCGGAGGCAACATATGCTGCTTCACCACGGCCGTTCACTTGTTGCCTGTGCTCAATGGCTTTGAAAGGCTGCGCTGTTTTCCTTTTTAGGGGCGTAGTATCGCCCCGAAGATATGAGTAGCGATGTTCGGAGCGGTACAATGTATCGTCTTCGCCGTTAAACGAGGAAGGTGGGCACTGCCGCAGTTTATTTTTCCTCGCCACCACCGCCGGAGAACTGAGGGGTACATTTCTATTCTTGCTCGCATGCCGCTTGGGGTCCTCATTGAGGCGTTCCACCTCCGCCACCAGTTCGTTGTATTCCCTACTCAGTTTCTTCAGGTTTGTGGGATTTTTGTCCAAGTTTCCACGACTCGGTTTCAGCTGCTGTTGTTGTTGTTGCTGCTGCTGTGTAGCAAGAAGAGCACCATAGTACTGCGCGTAGTACATCATCCATGCGTAGTAGGTTCGATACCACTCCATCTGCGGGTTGCCTGACACCCGGCTCCAATCCGCTGCCACTGGCGGCTGGTTTACCGGTACGCCTTGTGCCAGCTGCTGAAACGACGGTGCAGCTGTTGGAGCCGTCGCCGGGGGCGGTGGCGGTGGTGGCGCCGTGCGATGATAACTAGTGGAGTGAAGATCAACTGCGGGGGCAGGGGGAACACCCATGGGTCTCCCTGGATCATGAATTTGTGACGAGTCCAACGCTCTTGACGACGTGGCGCCACCCATTGGTTGTGAATGCAACGAAATGTCGGGTCCTTCGTTTTGTCTAGACTCTTCACGTACCAGCACGTCTTCCACCTCGCGAAGCAGATCAATTACATCGGTAGTGTCAGGCTCATCCCTCTCGTGCGCTAGCCAATCCAGGCGGCGCAGCACTCCCTCTTCTGGCACCCGCGTCGGTGATCGCCCCGCCGCAGGGCCCCCCCAGTGCTGCGACAATTCTCGCTGCTGCTGCTGCAGCGGCGGCGGCCGTTGCTCATCAGGCAGACGTAATGTGTCGCCGCGGCGTGGGATACCCATCTGCTCGAGTTTTCGTGTGTATTCCGCCCAGTAGTCGGGTGCTGCGCTGGCGCTCGGCGCCTTGTGAACATCCGCCGAATCGTCCCTGTTGTCACCGCCAAGGAGCCGAGCCATGCGATCGTGGTATTTCTCGTGGAAGGCCAGCTGCTCCTCTGCACGCCGCGAGTGGGTGTCGAAGCAGAGGGGCCCGTGCTGCAGGAGAGGCGCAGCACCACTTGGCCGCATAAGTTCTTTTCGTGGTGGCAAGGCCGTGTACGAGGGACAGAGAGAGGAGAGAGAGAGAGAGAGAGACATGACAAAACAGTCAAAACAAAAGCACAAAGAGATACCGGACACATGTCGAGCCCGCACATCTTTACTCGAGCATTACGAGGGATAGATACCGCAAATGCACGTTCACCCAAAGGGGCACCAACAAAAAACAAGCAAAAATGCGTTTCCCAAAAAAGAAACAACGTGTCGCGCCAAGAAGAAACAGAAAGTTGCCACCAAGTCAGAAGGGTATTGCCCCACCAAAACGTGCAATTCCTACGGCATATGCGGTGACTAACAGTGTGGTATCCTGTAGTTCTAGTTTTTGATTGGGACCCAAATCTTCACAGTATTGTCAGCGCTGTAGGTCGCGATGATAGGTTTGCTATCTGCATGGTGAATCGCAGCGCCAACAACGCGGTCTCTGTGACCTTCAAGTTTCTCCACTAACACTGCGGTACCTTCTTCCGTGACGTCGTATATACAGGCAGTGTTCTCTGCGCCACAAGTCACCATGAGATCACACTCTGTCAGGCGCCGCGGTTGTTGATCCGTTTCCCGCTCGCCGTCGTCGAAGAAAGCAGAAACGTTAGTTTTTTCTTTGGCGCCTCTCCAAAAGGCCGCCCTTGCAGTGTAGCCACGGGTTGGAACTCCTCCAACGACGTTGCGGAGTGTAAACGCATCATTCGAAGAAGTGTTGAGACCGGTCGCCCGATATAAGCGCACCATATTGTCAACAGACACCACAACCAGCCGCCTGGAGTCGTCTCTGTGGTGGTAGTGGCTAATGTAGGTAATGGCACTTTGTGACGGCTCGTTCTCAATCACGGAGATGAGTGGCACCGGCACAGCAGGGGACTCGTCTACCGGAGCGGAGGTAAGTGAAGCGGCTGGCGCACTGCTGCTCAGAGTCTCTCCTTCCAAAGGGGTCGTCGAGGAGAGCGCCAAACCAACCTTACGAACGTCCCATACTGCTATGGTGCCGTTATTGTGTCCTGTGACAAGTTGTGCCATGGCGCTGTTGAATGTTAGTGTGTTGGCCCGCACGTCGTGCCTCCACGAGATGGGTTTCTGGACACGCAAGTCCACTATAGAGGTGCGCCTCTTTGAATCGGTACATGCAAACACGAACGCCTTGTCCAGCGGCACCGCCGCCAGCACAAAACCGTTCGCATTGAACTGATAGACCGGCGTGGCGGTGCTGCTGGTGTGACGTGGATCCCACACCTTGACGGTGCCATCAAAGGATGCAGAAAGAATGTTTCCGCTTCCTTCAAACCACGCTACATCAGACACGTTCTGTTCGTGTCCCTTGTTGTCATACATCTTCTCTCCTGTCAGGAAGTTGTGAAGGATCAAACGGCAGTCGAGTCCACCTGTGGCGAGAATAGGCTGGTCACCCGGTGCAAAAGCAGCACACTGAACAGGCTTGGTATGCTCTCGAAGCTCACGCGGAAACTGAAAACGACGATTGAACGAGCCCTGGGCGGCTGCATTCCCGTAGGTGAGATCATTAGCGTCAATGGCATCAGCGGGCGTGTCAATGATTTCACGACTTGATATTGCCGTGCGCAGCTCTCGAATGCCAATGGGGGTCTCCAGCGTGATGCCTTTTGATGCCAGCTTGCTAACGGCGATGTCAAGCAGGGCGCTGAGGTTGTACAGTTGCCTCTTGAGGATGAGGTTTTCGTGCCGAACCTCGGCCACTCGCTTCTCGAGCTGCAAGTTTTCGTGCCGGATGGTCGCTACAAGTTGCGCTGCCGATGATGCTGCTGAGTTATCGCCCATCCCTGTGTGCGTGTGTGGGTGGGTGCACCAACGCAGCAGTAAACCTTAGAAAAGGGAAAAAAGAGTCTCTGTATACGCTAGAGAGGGAGAAGTTAAAGGGCAACGAGCGGGAGACAGAATATCGCTTAGCATCCTGCCGACGTGAGAACGCGAGTGGACCTCACTCTAAAAAGGAACAACCGAAATAAACAGCCAAAACCGAAGCAAACAAGAAAAAAAAAGAAAAATCCACGTTAGATACGAGAATTGTTAGGGCGCACCCATTTAACTACACCATGGCCGCTTGTATCAGGGTAAACAAGGAGCAGCGAGCAGTGGGGAAATTCACGCTGACCACGTGTCCATCACGTAGCGACCTTCTTTGCGAAGCTGTTTCATATATTCTTGTCCATCGGCCTCATCGCCACCGCAGCAACACTGCGTGACGATATCATCAAATGTTGTGGAAACATCCTTGGGCATCGGCGTGGATTTACCACAAACGTAAACGCATGCTCCATCATCCAGCACCTGTGCCACACGCTTAGCGTGCTGACCAAGCTGATGCTGCACGTAAAACTTCTTTGCTCCATCTCTGGAGAAGGCCGGCAGCACCTTCAACTTTTTCAGCCGCTCCCTCGACAGTTCTGCCCACTCCGCGGCGTAGAGATAGTCCTTATCCGCGTGCCGGCATCCGAAGATAAGAAGAAGCGGAACCTCGCCCCACTCCCCCGGGTTTGCCGCACACTCGCGGATAAGGGCGCGCAGAGGTGCGATGCCGGTGCCGGCGCCAACGCACACCAACGGACTCGGCCTCGCTGGCACGAGCAGCGTGCCGGGCCAGAGGTAGCACGTGAACACATCCCCAGGAACAGAACCAACCAGACGTGAGCTGCACAATCCCTTGCGGTCACGCTTGTAGGGTGTCTGCCACGATATCAGCGCCACAGTGAGGTGAATCTCACTGACGTCAAAGGACGGGGCGGAGGAGATAGAGAAGAGTCGCGGGCGCATCAACGGCATGAAACTCAGCAGCGTGGAAAGTGGAGGGCGAATGGTGCGGAAGTCACTCAGCACCTCCACCACGTTGCGCTTCTCGCGGTGGGCGTACGACATATAGTCATCCAAGTGTTCGGGCGACGCCAGTTCCAACAACCGTTCCTTAAATTCGGCGTCAGCCGTAAAACGTGCAAGCATGCCAAAGAAAGAACGGCTCACCACAGCCTCCAAGTCCACGTAGTGGCGCAGGAGAAACTGAAGTGTCATCGGCTTCCCAAAGAAAGGTTGATGCTTCTGTTGAATTAGACCCTCGGTGGTGTTGGGCGTCACACAAACCAAAGCATCACCCTTCTGATCAAGTAATGCGAGAAAATCATCAACTGTCGACTCACGGTTAGTACAGTAGACGCCCAACGCGTCCCCCACTTCGAAAGAGAGGGGGCTAGATTGCTGCACGGCACCTTCTGTGCGAGTAACCACTCGTGAAAACGCCACGTGGTGCACCGCCTGGAAGTGATCTTCCGCTGTGAGGCGCACATTCTGCTGTACAACGCAATCGAACACGCTCTCATTACGATGAACTATTTTATCCACCGCATCGGCATGCACACCAGCATCGACAAAGTCAACGTTAAACTTTCTAACAAGAGGTGCCGTAGATGGGTTCTCCGCCTGTGCCCCCTCTTCCTCTGGTGACAGTCGCCCCAAGGCGCGCCACAGCTGCAGGAGCCATGGTAGGAAGGTTTCATCCACCCCCTTCGCGTCACTCTCATCGCCAAGCCCACGGTTGACGAGTGGCACGCCGCCCAATTGCTTAAGTCGGTTGTGAAGCATCTTCGCCATGTAGTTGAACTTCGGATAGAGGGAGTCGCCAACGCCGAAGACAGCGAACCGCAGGGACTCCATGGACGGCGCCGTCGGCTGTAGCAGCTTTGCCCACGAGATACGAATAGACTCGGGTGCCTCACCTTGATTTGTGTTGGAACAGATAATCACAAGAGGAGAGGCCTCCTTCCAATTCTCAAGCTGGAACTCATCAGCTGGAAGGCAACGACAGTGCTCGAAGCCTCGCCTCATCGCCAGCGAAGTGAGGGTGTACGCCATTATCTCCGCACAGCCACTTTGGGTGCCATACAGTACTGTCAGAACCCCCATTTCGCAAGCCACCCCTCACTTGTATGGCAGCTGTCTCACACTCACACACACTCTCTGCTCGCTCCTGTTCTTTCCTTCGGCTATGCCTCGTTTATTCCCTTCTCACCCAGACACATAGATGACAGAGAGAAGAAGTACGGTGAATACTAGGAATTTAACATGCCAGTCACAACAAAACAGACACAACCCAGGAAAGTACTAGTGGTTTCATTCGCTTCTTCTTCCCTCCGCTCTCTTGCTCACTCTCGCTCGTCTTCTCTAGCCCTCAAGACTGTAGCACTTTCCTCACCGCATGGAGAACCGTTGTGTTGCTCGTCAGTTTCGCGTGCATGTCACCATTTGTCCCAAACAGCCGCGTTACCACTGTGTGCATCTTCGCGTTGGCCTCTACAACGCCCTGTGTGTACTCCTTGAGGATGCGCTTCTCCAACGCCGTTGCACACGCCACCGCCACCTCGTCGTGTGCCGCAGCGGCCATCGTTGCGCCAACGACGCGCTTAACAAGGTTTGAGGTCTCTGAGAGCTGCACCTGCCAGCTCTGGGCAAAGTCCGACACGGCCCGCATCGTCGCTTCCTCATTCAGTGCGGGGGGAAGCGACGCAACTGGCGGATCCGCGGATTCACTCTCCGAGAAAAAAGTGCTCCCCAATGCGGCTTCCGCGGCTTGGATGAAGTCGAACAGATATCCAAAGTTGCCATTCGCCTTGGCATCCTCATCTACGAATCGTGCGAGTTCGTTGGAGAGGTGGCTTTCCACACAGGCGATGTGTGACGGTGGCGCTGCGTATTGCGGCTGCTCGTTCTCCGAAATGGGCGGAAGACCCGCCGCCAGCCGCCGCCACGTTGCTAATATATAGAATAGATTATTCACAGCAAAGATGCGCTGCGCCAACGGGTTCTTGTGGCGCTTCGCAAGCGTAAGAATGAATTCTGCTACTATCTCCAACTCTCGAAACAAGACGTTCGAGACCGCGGGGTCATACGCCACCACATCCAGCCCGTTCACCATAGACCCGCCGAATAAAGCGGTGTTCAACATCTCCACCTCCCCTGCGATATGGCTGAATCTCTGCACAATAGGATGTGGTCCCAGCGTTGCGGCATAGCCTCTGTCTTCCAGCAGCTTGGTCGTGCCAAGCTTGGAACCGCCAGGGGCAAGGTGAAAGGGCGATAAACGCAGCGTCGCCAGAAACTGTACAGCCTTCTGATCATTTTCCAGAACACTGTGCAGGACACTTGTCAGTGTCTTCTTGGCCAGCTCCATAATGTTACTGAAGAGAAGGAGCGGAACTGGATTATGCAGGTGACACAAGTATACCTTGACGATGTCGACAACACGCAGACCGGCAAGTACACTTTGACGGTCCGCCACGAGCATAAGGTCCTCAGCAAAGCTGTGTCGTGCAGCGTCAAGCGTTCTCTGAAGCACAACACGTGCGAGCGCCTCTGCTTCGTCAAAGTCCTCATCTTCACTCGACATGGAGCAGAAGAAGCGGCCAACAAAGCGGCACTCTGATACGCAGAGGCTAACGAGGAGTTGCATGCAGCGCACGAAGTGCCACACCCAGCTGTTAACTTTATCTAGTCGTTGTGCCTTTCCCGCGTCTAGGATTAACACTTCGTTCTGGACAGTCAAGGAGTCCAACGCCTCTATAGTATCACTTATTGACGTCTCCAGCAGTGCGGCACACCGATCGGGCTTCAACACACGGTCCGCAAAGTTCCGCATATGCTGTGAAACGCTCCGCTCACGCCGCGGGAATGGCTGCACTGGAAATTTCAGAGGCGGCACCACCGTCGTAACGTGGTTTCCCTTTGGCGAGCCAGCGTCCCTGTTGCACAACAGATCATGCACGTCCTCTGCGGCAATAACAGTGTCGACGCTGCAGGCGTGCGCAGTACATGCCTCACTGAAGCCACGCAACATCACACGAGTGTGCCGACTAAGTACTTCTGACATTCGCTTTACATATTCACGAAAAATAGCCTCAGCGATTGGGCGATTGTAGTTCTTCAGGAAGCTAATGACGTTTTGTCCCACAACCTCCAGCGGGCGTTGCTGCTGCTGAATACTGGCGAGACTTTCCGCTGCTGCCAGTGCAGCTATACGCTTGCTAAGGAACCGTTGCAGCTTCTCACCAGCTTGCACGGCCGCTGCCTGTAGCTGTGGACGCGTCTCCAAGTCCACTGCCGACCCCGCGAGCTCCTTGTTGGCGGAGAGGAACAAGAGCTTCTTCTCCAGCACCGCGATATTTTCGAGGTACTCCTTGTCCACCTCCTTGTGAGCGATGGCGTCGCAGAAGGCATCACATTCCTGCAGCACGGTGTACACCTCGCTCAGCTTCGCGCTTCCATGGCGGCGATTACCAATGCTGCGCACGAGGCCAACCGTCTGCTGCTGCATCTTCACCATATCGTCCGCGGAGTCGGCTAGTCGCCGCTGAAAGGTGATAATCTCTTCTTCAAACTGAACCAACTTTTCCTCACACTCGACGAACTCAGTGTAGAGGGCGCAGATACTTTCCGCCTCGTTGACGTGGGCTTCAATGAGGTCTTCGCGCAGTGCCGACAGCTCCGCCTCATGCTGCGCGAGAATGTTGTGCAGGTCCATTCCGCCCTTGAGGTAGTTCGTGATGACGTGCTGCTCTGCGTCCGAGTTGCCGCACATGATCTCGTCCAGCTCGTCGAAGCGGAGCAATGCATACTCGGCGTTCTCACTCGCCATCAGCTGCTCGCCGTCATTGCCCATTACCACACCGATTGCGGAATGCAAGTGTCTGTTCCTATGCCTCTCCTCCCTCTTAACAAATTAAGCATGAGAAAAAAAACGCAAACCAGAATATCCCTCTTAGTCGCGTCTCTTCAGTAGTGAAAAAGGGCGACTACACAGATGACGGGAAACAATAAAAAAGGTTTCCATGACAAATCTAGGGATCTCTCTGACATTAGATGCCAAAAGCTGAGCCATTGCAATACGGACAATAAGCAGGAGAAGCACCTACAATGAATCAGGCTCGGGGTACTCCGCAAAACGCCCTGGAGCCACAGCATTGGCGCAGTAGTAATAAAACCTCTCTCCTTTCTCATGGGCAGCAATCACCGGTGCGGGGGGTGCCTCTCCCAGTGGCAACGTCACGTTCTTGCCTCTCTTGTGTTCTCCTGTGTCTTGTGGACGGCTGCAGCTTCCACCTACATCTGTCGCTGTACCCCCGATGACAGCAGCTACTTCTGTCTCCGCTCCGTGAGGGGAGCCGCTAACTGTCCTCTTGTCAATCGACAGGATGCTCCTCCTGTCTGTGTGGTGATCCACCACACTCTCAGATTGCTTCTGCTTTCGTTGTTGCTGTTGTTGTTGTTGTTGTTGTGCCACCAACAGAGCGTCCGACGCTGACGCCACGGCAGCGACGGGGGCAGTTGGGGCATCTACGTTGGTGTATACGTGATGCGGCGCTGCAGCGGCAAACACATTGTCATGAGAACGAGGCAGTAGCGATTGTGCCATGTGCTGCTCCGGTGCGCGCAGGGTGGCAGACTCGGTGGGCGAACGCACTACACCCCTGTCCACATATGCCCGACGCCGTCGTTCAAACATCTCCTCCGCGATGAGCTGGCGACGCACTTCCTGCGCCAATGTCAATGTGTCGACGCGTGCCGCCTCGTACCGCATGTAGTTACGATACGCCTGCATGTTTTGCTGTGTCGTGCCGGTGACGATGCCGGCCCCTCTACACGCGTCGAGTGCGTCACTCAGGACAACACCAGTGGGCACACTCCGATCGACCCACGGTGCGTTGCCCACAATCAGGTTGAAGTGCTGCTGCAGCGACAGCCGTTCGAGCGCGACGGTGGGGTCAATGCCGCACAAGGTGCACGCCCGCAGCGAGCGCGGTGAATCGATACGGGGGATATCCGCCGGCGGGTCGTCTACGCCAACGTGGCTGTTGCACCGGCGCAGCCACTCCTCCTGCCGCTGCTCCAAATTGTCCAAGTGAACCGGCCCCTCCATTGCAAACCGCACACTGCTCTAACCAAGGCAAGAAGAGGTACAGGAGATGAACACACATCCATGTGTAACTGGTAGACAAAGAGACCTTTTGTTTGGAGGTGGGGTGGGATGGATTTCTTACAAACAAAGAAAACAGCCATTCAACGGCAGCCGACCGCCACGGACTCAGTCCAGGGACATATTGCGGCGTACGCACCTCCTCGGCTCAGTTCTTGCGTTAGAGCACAACCTGTTGCTCAGCAAGTATAGCACGACTCATGCACACACACACACACATTTATCAAGAGGGCACACGGATAACGGCATTCACACCCACATCGTCCATAAAAATATTCAGCTTGACACAGACGAGCAGACCCCTCCAAAAACAAAAAAACCCATCGTCTTTTTTGCGTCTCTGTTTGTTTGTCTGTTTTTATCAGTTAGGCAGCGAAGCAAAACAAATAATGAATTCGCACTGAAGCTAGGCCATGCGAGTGCGCTGAGGGGTGAGGATATAGGGAAGGGGAGCTTTGGGTGCTGTCAAACTCCACAGGCATCTACGATCCGTGCCTCATTATAAGACTGCGCGGGACCTCCTCGTCCACCGCGTTTGCGTGCATTGTTGCTCATAAACAGTAACGGCAACATCAACAACAACAACAAATGATTCACAGTTGTCTATTTACCATAGCCTAGAGGGCTTTATGTTTCACCAATGCTGCTACCTGAACTGCTGCAGGCCATCGAAAGGATGTCGTGGTAACCAGCGCGGGTGATCTGCAAGAGAGTGCTGTCCTGCACCACACGACAGCTAAAAGTTGGTATAAACAGCTCATTGGTGAGAGCGTCAGCAGCGATGATGGACCAACTTGGAAGCTCAAGCCGAATCTCTTCCTTTCCGGCGAACACCTCAACACGACCAGAGATTACCAGCGTAAATGTATCAGACGGCACGTCCGTGCGGTAAAGCCAAATATTGGCCTTATCATCATGCTCGAGACCACGAGCGTCAGTTGGAGGACGAACTTTATATACCATTCCGTATTGACTGATAGCGTGAAGCAAGAGATTGTGTGCTTCACGCATGTGACGGTTGAGGTCGGGCAGTGACTCGCAGAGGAACAACGTGGATGCCTTGAGCTGGTTAGGGCTCATATTGACCCGACGCGCACACTTCGGGGTGAGCCCAATCTGTCTTTTGGGAGGACCATGCGGTGCAGGCGTGGAGATCTGCGGACCAATGTCATACTCATCGAATATTTCGCTGTGGATGAGCTCCTCAATAACGTCCTCCATAGTGACGAGACCTTTCACCTCGTAATAGGGATCACCAAACGGCCTTTGTTGCACTTCTTGCACTAACGCTATATGCGACCTCCCTGTCTGGAAGTACTTAAGCATAGAAATGAGTTTCGTCTCGGAAGGCACCACGTGGCAACGCCTGTTGTAGAATTTCACCAGCAGCCATACGGGTGTGTTTTCGCGTGGGTCTATCATTAAGAGATCTTTTGCAAAGAGAACACCAATGATGTTGTTTTTGCTCGTTTGATAAACAGGAATGCGGCTGTGACCACGTTCGGAGATGAGCTGAATGACCTCTTCACTCAACGGTTCACTCGCCTCGAGCATGAGTACCTCCGAAATAGGCGTCACAACATCCATCACGGTCTTCTCGTGCAGCTCCATCGCACCTACCATGAGGTCGACCTCCCGCTCGCCAAGACCCGACTCCGAGCCTCGTGCGGCGTGCATGAACATGAGTTTTTTTAGCTCGTTGCGCTCGTATATCTGTCCGGGGTCAGTGCCGATGAACCGGTCGAGGACTACGCTGAGAGGCTTGCAGACAGGGTAGAAGAGCACCACAAACAACTTCACAATAGGAACACTCTTGGACCCCACCTGAAGCGCGTGAGCGGACATGAGAGCTTGTGGCAGGACTTCACCTCCAACTGTTGTCAGTGCCGTCGACACAACGGTCGCCACCCAGCCGTGGATGTGCGAGTCCGTAATCTGCGCAATCAGTGTGTTAACCATCACATTACCGAGAATCAGGGTGCAGAGCAGCTGGTTGCCTAGTCGGCGGATGGGCAAAATTTTACTGGCGTATGTTTTGTCTGGCTCGGAGCCGCTATCGGCGATGATCTCGAGTGAAAGTGTGTCAAGGCCCATGATGGCGAGCGTCAGCCCGGCGAAGAGGGCGGCAAAGAGAAGTAGCACACTGTCAGCCGCAATTAAATATACCCACTGCACCTCCTCCGCCTTTTCCTCTTGATCCGTTGCAGCCTCAACCCCCCACAGCAGTGGTGACGCTATCACTGCAACAGTGACAACTAATAGAGGTTTCAGCCTTGGTACATAATGCCCACTCATTTCGTTTTTTTTTT